ATGTATATTCTTCTTTTAGCTTACAAAAAAAATGCTGAAGAAAAAATGGTTTATTCTTTGAGTTAGATTTCTCTGTTCATTTGTGTATAAATTGGTACTTTTTTCCATTTCTGAAGTATTAAGACAGACTGAATAGCTATGAACTATGCCAATATTATCACTCTGAAGGCTAGGATGGAGAAATCATTTCTTTAGCATATATAGTTGTAGCATTGAAAGCTACATATATTTGTTTCAAATTATAAGATTAAATGAATAGAGCATTTATTTAGCAATTTTATAATCAGACAATATCAGTGTTTCATTTTAGTTTGATTAACATAATAGTTGGTTTGACAGATAAATACAGTAATTAGAATTGTAAATTTTTTATAGAATTGTGAATTTTACAAATAAGACACATAGATTAGTCTTAAAAGGTTTCATTTGGAAGTAAAGGAATGGAATATTATCGACTTTTTGAAGATTGTATATTAGTGAGGTTTTGCTGCATGACAAACTACCTAATACTTAGAAAAGCTAACATATTATGTCTCACAGTGTTGTAGGTCACCTAGGTGGTTCGTCTGGTTTGAGCGAGCCTGGCTGCTCTCTGTGGTTAGCTGGCTGTTGGCTAGGGCCATTGGCCTAGGATGGCCTCATTCAGGTCAGGCTGTTGTCACGCTGGCTGTTGTAGGGGCCTCAGCAGCAGATGGTGCATCTTTGCTCCAAGGGGTCTTCTCATCCTCGGAAGGTTAGCCAGGCTGTTTCATGTGGTGGTCTCAAGGTTCCAGAGTACAGCAAGAGAGGGCCAGCCTCGATGGGCCTGCAGTTTTCAAGTCTGTGGGTTGTGCTTGCTGTTGTCCTGCTGGCCAACCCAAAGTCTGTGTGGGAAGGGACTACCCAAGGATATGGGTGCAGGGAAACGGGAACAAATAGGGGTTATTACTGCACAATCTACCAAGGCATGGAATTTGTACATATGTACTATTGGGTTGTTGGAAAAGTCATGTCATATTTTTTCTATGATTTTTGTTGCAAAAATTGCGTCATGACTTTTCTGACAACCCAATATTTAGTCAGTGCCCCTAAATTTTGATTCAGCCTTAGGCTAGCAACAAGAGGTGATACAACAGAAAAATTGATCAGGCTGTCAAAACTATAGAGTTTTCAAAGAGATAGTTTATAGACCCTGGGTTTCCCTGAAATACTTAACAATCATTTGAAGCCCCTTTCAACTTTTTATTTTTTAAAGCATTGAACTATAAAAGTAGGGAGCCTTTAATCCTCACTCAGTAAATATCCCAAATTGATCTTCAGCAAGGACTCTACTGATGGTAGAAGGGGGATCACAGTGGCTGTGTCCATTGATGGAGAGCTCCAATGTGCGGGGCTGTGTACCCTCTCTATGAGTTCTAACACTTGATGTCAGCATTGACACTGTTTTACATGGGAAGAAGCAGCCTCCCAGGAGCTGGCTAAGTGGTCTGAGGTCATATAGCTGGTATTTTAAAGACTTTTTATTGGGGAATTGGGGGAGGGGAATAGACAAGTTGCTGTCCTTTTGTTCTTCAGTCTAGTTGTGAAGGACGTTGCTTCACTGGCCCAAGTTGGCATTATCATTGTGCTCTTCCCGGGTAAGGCAGACCAGTCACCGGCCTCTGGATGGCTGCTCACGGCGGCTGCTGGCCGCTCACGCTGGCTGCCGGCCACTCACGGCAGCCCACTGCAGCAGGGGCTGCAACCTACGCCGTCACCGGCAACTCATGGCATCCCAGCTCCAGGTTGAGCTGTTGTTCACCACCTTAGCTGTAGAGGGCAGTGTCACTGGCCCTCACGTGGGATCCGAACCGGGGCCCTGCTGCTCAGAGCTGGCAGGAAGGGGACTGCATTTTGAACCTAGTTCTTTCTGACTCCACAGCTACAGTCTTAAGAACAGTTTCTTCCCTAATGGGAATGTTTATTTTTTCAGCATGAAGCCTTTGAGTATTTTATGTCATCCTGTGAAAAACTGGGAACCATGGTGAAACATGAATTTTTTCCCCTTTGTACTCTTTCCCTGCCCTAGCTCCTTCACTAGTTTAACCAAATAACCAGGTTTAAATCTGAAGATGATAAACAGCTCAGAATAGTAACTTTACTGCTGGTTCCAGATGTAAGTTTTTGGAATAACTGATCTCTCTATGATCTATCCATGACTCTTCTGCGCTTCCAAAATACAATTCAGAATCCTGAGGTATTCTGGAACATATACTTAAAATTTCATTAGAAAAGAACCTTTGTTTAAAAAAGAAACTGTGAGGGCCGGCCGAATGGCTCAGTTGGTTAAGAGCTCGCTCAAGAGTTTGAGCTCCGAGCAACAGCGGTTCGATGCCAGCCCGAGCTGAGCAGCCGCTAAGCTACCAATAGGTAGCAGGATGGCTCAGCTAAAAAAAAAAAAAATAAATAAATAAATAAATAAAAAAGAAACTGTGCTGCCCTCCTGTTTCATCCTCATGTGTGCTTCCTAGCACACAGCAAATAGCTGCATCTTCATATGCACCAGAGCGTTGTCCTTCGCATGGTTGGGCGCCAACATACAAGGTCATTGAACACAAAGTCGTGCGTGTCCTTCCTCTCTGGTTCACCAGCACCTAGCCCCGGAATGGGAACGTTCCGGTTTGTTACATGATTTCATAAGTGAATCCATACCTAGGAAAAAATTCTTTTCTTCTGTTCTTCTCCCCTCCTTTTGGTCTGTCTTCCTTTTAGTTCTTTCTCCTTTGTACATCACTTTCCCTCCTCTTTCAGTCGGTCTTAGTTCTTCAGCTGTCCTTAGCTTACCATTTTCCCCACCATCTCATTAGTAATTTTTATATTCACTACATGTTGAAATGATAGTATCTTGGACGTGTTATTAAATCTATTATTAAATATTTTAAATAAATATATTATTAAAATTAATTTCACCTGTTTATTTTTACTTTTTTAATGTGACTACTAGAGAATATAAACTGATATATGTAGCTTGCTCTAGAGGGTCTATATCCAGGTTAATTCCTTAATGCAAGTTCATAAAAACAGTTTTTTCTTTCGTTTTTGTTTTAATTTCATGGACCTATTGGACTAAAGACCCCACAGGTGACCACCCTCCACTGGCATAGCGCTGCCTGTCCCTTCTCCCCCATCACCAAAAATTCATGAGAACGAATAGGAAGAATTTATCTTGCTTTTGATGATGCACATAGATTTTCCTCCACTGGCATAAGCATGCCTGGACCAAAGTACAATTGACTCTTAAATTATTTTCACTAATAAAAAGGATGACTAATGTAAATTGGAGGATACACTATTTTCTTTGGAATGTTTTGGTGCTTGCATTTTGGAACAGGTGTGGCCACTGTTGAAAGAAACAGTGGAGTCATACTCAGCATGAACCTATGAGGATCTGGAAAAGCACTCAGAATCCCCTGCCTTCAGTATAACGGATGTAGGGTCTATCATACTGTTCTCGGATGAAAAATCCGACACATAAACTTTGGTGTATTTGCTTTTTGTTTTTGGTTTAAGGAAGAAATAATATTTTGGCTTAGGAACTCTTCTCCTGAACTATGATATAATAGGATAAGGATAATCATGTCAAAAATAGCCTCACAATGTCCTCTTTTGGCTTTAAGAATTCCAGAGTAAGTTTGTCTTGGATCACTGAGGATTAGTTATATTAATAAGAAGTGAGCCATCTTTAGTAAGTGCCAAGTTTTTTTCCTTTTGGCATGGAATGGGAAATGCCCACCTCCAATGGCTTTGGGTTGGTAAGTGCACACCAGCTACCATCCCATGAGGGTGGAGCGAGTGCTGGCTACAGCTGCCTGACATTGGGCAGTGGGGGTGGAATCCCAGACAACAGCTAGCCGTTTTTGTAAACAACCAGGAGGGGGATTGTGCTGGTGGTTACCAGCTCATGCCAATGAAAAGCAACCCATTTGCCACTTTGGTTATGCATGCCACTGGTGTACAGTGCTTTGTAAGGACATGGTCCTATCCATGTTATAGGACACCTGTGCAACAGTGAGTTGAGTGATCTAGTAGCTCCTGGAGCTCAGACCTGGGCTTTGACAATAGAGTAGAATAAATCTCTTGATGTCTAAGCTGACATGACATTTTAAATTAGGAAAACAAAATAGCTCTGAAAATATCTATAGGATTATAGTTAAATGGTTAATATGGAAGACATGACAGAGAGAGGTTAGAAGGGATATGGGATAATCCAGTGTTGATTCAGAGAGAAGCCTTGGACAAGTCATTGAATTTCCCTGTTTACCCATCTGTTAAAAAAAGGGGGGGGGGAAATGACATCTCCCAGAGATGTTTGGATATTTGATTGATGTTTATAACATAGTTTGCTGTATTTCATAAAGTATACAAGAAGAGCAAAATATGTCATCAGAACTTAAATGTCTAAAACAAACTAGCCTGAACCATCTCGAGTAGATATTAAGCAGTTCTGTGCCTTTGATATAAGTTGTACTTAATAAGGGAGTTTACATTTTTTAAAGACAGCTCCTTGTTCCTTGTAATTTTCTTTTTAATGTCAGCTGTATACTTGGGGTCTTTAGCTGTCAACGTTAGCTTCAACATGCTTGATAGGTGGTCAGTCACCTATAGAGGGCAATTTACTAGTTCCAGCCAGCCAGGCAGTTAATTACACTTCAAAATGCTTCTTGCCAAGGACCATGCCTTTTGCAAATATTTGAGATGTTTGTTCTCAGTTGTAATTTATTAGTGAACCTGTGTCTTCATAGCAACTCCTTGGGAGGTGCAGAAGACAAAACCAGAAAACAAGTAAATGAAATTAATTCATTAGGTATCAAGGAAAAAAAGCACTCATTCAAGGCGACTGGTTGATAGACTCTAGTTTTACACAGTACCACATCCAGTCATACCGTTTAAATAATGATAGAATGTCCTTTTAACTTGGCTTTTCCTTGTGAAGAGCATACAGCACTGCCACCTTGTTGCCAAAGTTTTGTCTGATTTGAACATGCTTAAAAATTCAAGTGAATGCCTGTTGTGAAAAAAGAGCTTACTCTTTCTCTTTGTCAGTACTTGAGAAAACAACTTAAAAGAAGTTAGTATTATTGGACTGAATTCAATAATTAGCATAATCGTGATGCTGTGTATTGTTCACCAGGGCACGCCCCTTGGCCAAATTTCCCATTAAGAGGACACCGAAGTTGTCCTAGTGAATAAATCCCCAGTACACATGATGCGAACCAGCCAGTTCCTGCCTTCCGTGCCGGTGCCGGTGCAGTTAATTTTAGCCAGGGTTTGTTCTATGCGTTGTAAAACTGTTTACCCAACTAGAAGTTAGTAAACTGAAATGTCACTTCTAGTCCTGATGTGATAGGGTATCTATTTTAGACTTCAGATTGTGTTCATGATCAGGAGAGCAGTCTTCTCAAGAATTGCGGCTCAGATTTCCCTTGAAAGTGCTTGTGAGTACTGGGTGAATTTTTAAGATTTCTCTTTGTTCTTTTCTCCGTAAATCTTCTTAATGTTACTATCATAGTCATTTTTTTATTTCTTGGGAAAACTGGAAACTTGGGGTTGTGAACTTTAGAGGATTCTAAGAATGGTGGCCAAAAGGTTGTTTGTTTTTTTTGTTTTTTGTTTTTTAATGTAACCCACTGCAAGAAACCTGCCTTATTCAGTTTTCCCAAGAGAAAGTACTTGATTCTTACTATTTTTATCTCTGCAAAGCAATCTGTAGATTATTACTTATTTTATCTGTTAAAATATTCGGTGAATGGAAAAGGCAGTGTTACTGAGCTTTATTTTCTATGGTAACCTAACTCTTAAACAAAAAATAAAAGTTAAAAGTGGGTTCCTATTCTATTATTATACTTACCTAAACTACAAGCTTCTGCTTCAGAAATAATGGGAGTGTCAAATATAATTTTGTAAAATGTATAGATGGACAGTTTTTTGTTTTTATTTTTTAAGAAGTGTTTTGTACTTAGGACCCATATACTCCTAAGGAGAAGCACTTAAAAAAATCAAATACTTTTAAGAGGAAGGCTTCAGAAAGTAATGGAAAGCATCCTCTGGAAGATTGAGTTAGTTATCACAATTAACCAAAAGCCATGATATTCTCTAATTTTAACTCCTCTTAATTTAACAAGTCATTGCCAACTTAAATTTGGACTGTAGAAAGCTAAAGATGTTAATATGGAATATTTTTAATTAAATCTGAATCACCTTACTTAGTTTGAAATGTGTTTCAATTGAGTACTGACTTCATGTAGACAACTTGCTTATAACACAGAACTAGGCAGGAATTTCTTTATCAATTAACACATAATTTATATCCCCTCTAGGAATATTGATTTCAATGAAACAATTTTAATAGGTGGTGTTGTAGCTGCTTACCAGGCTTCCCTATTTCTGTCATGTCTATGAACGAGGGGAGACTTGCCCTCAAATGCCATTTTCCCATTTTGAAAGCTTTATTTAGACTTCTTTGTTATTAGTATGTATTGTCTGATTTTAAATCCAGATGACCTAAGGTGTCAACAATGAAAGGAAATGTTTCAGTGGTACATTTAGTAGAAAAAGAATGTAAGAAAGGAAAATAGGACTGAGTTCTTAGGCTGTTTTTGGAAAGAAACTTTTTTTAAAACTTAAGTTTTTTTATTGAGCAGAAGAGAAATTTGCAGTCCAGACTAATTGTGATTATAACAGAAAAGTCTAATGTCATCTTCAGCAGTAAAAAAAACACTTTGTTCCAATACATGCTTCAAAATATATACTTTTATCCTAAGAAAGTAACCATTCTTATTCTTACTTTTAACTGTTACTAAGGCGCCACCAGAATCTCAGTGGAGTGTTTTTAAAGGCATATTAATTTAACGGAAAGATGTATCCATAGGTGTTTTTACCTCTAGGAAGCATGTATTCTATTAGGAGTTGCTAAAAAGTCTCATAAACACTTTAGGAGTGTTTATTTTAATGATTTACATGCTGTGAGAGAGTGATATAGGTAAATAAAGGAGATTGTTTTTATTATGTAAGCCTGTCGGAATTTCTCATGTTTTCTGGTGCTGTGATTCTCTTCACTACTTCTTATCCTGTGTGCCTGACGAAGTGATACTGTTTATGGTTCCCTTATGAGTAGAGGCTCTGTTGACTAGTTATGACCTTGACCGTGACAGATCACAATGAGCTCAACTCAGAGTCACAAATGGGGGGGGGGGGTCCACATGCCAAGAAACACGGGCAGCTTTGTGGCCTGTAGAAATGCCCAGGAGCCCATGGTTTCAACCATGGGCTGTGCACGCCTGCACTGCCCATCACCATCATCCTCACTGCCGTTAACTTGGTGCATTATCTGTCATCCAGTCCTGTTGAAGCCGCTTTCACTGGTGGCCTGCCCTCTCATCCTAGTCTTCCCCCTCTTAAAATAGTCACAGACTAAGAGGCTCTGACAGAGTAGCTCCTGACTGCAGTCAGTTTATTTTACTGTTACTTTATTCCTAGAGACCAGCTTTCTCTGAAGCTTTGAGCGATTTTTCAGGGAAGCAAAGAGGGTCCTCTTCATCCACATGGGGTTTTTAATAGGCAACTTGTCTGTGTAGCTTTATGGAAAATTACGTTATCAAACAGGTTGTCTTTTGGTTTGGAGCCGAATGTAAGCGCTCAGTGATCACATCTCCAGAATGTTCTCTTTCAAAAGGAAATTTTGTAGGAATAGGCTTTGTTATATTGCGTTTCAACTGTTTTATCTACAATGAAAAGAGCAGTGAGCAGAGAGACGCCTTCCGCGTTGCCTGTCTTATACACAAGTAAAGGGTAGTAGGATCTGCCTGGCGGCAGGAATGCTGATTTCGCCTGGAAATACTGGGACTGTTGTTACCATTTAGCATGTATTAAACACCCCCAGAGCACATACAATGCACAAAGAAAGCACAGTTCCTACTCTCAAAGAACTCACATGCTAAATAAAATTAGGCAGGACACAGAGGCTGGGCCCTTGACATACACGCTGAACACACTGGCAGAAAAAAGAATATGGAAATGAAGAAAAGGAAAACAAGATGGTGTGCGGAGGGTGGAGGGTCAGGGCAAGTAGCTCGTGGGTTAGCTTTCGGTTCATCTGGGCTTTTGCCCAGTAGGATTAGGACAGATAGCAGTGCCACCTGGGGCGCTGCTGCCCTCTCTTCCAGAAGCTGGGGACATGATGGAGATGAGCGAGAAGGCTGACCCAAGGAGCCTTATCCACAACTCCCGTTCTCTGCTCCAGTGCCCCCACAAAGGGAAGGAGATTCAGGAGTTTTATCTATACCTGGAACTTGTTATGTGGAGGAAGTATACTTGATATCTTATAAAATCCAATAAATGTAAGAAGCATCTTTTACCATACAATGATGTTTGGATAGAAATCTGAATTTGGGTTCTAGATTTCCTCTCCCCTCCTGAACTGATATGCAGTTGAACAAGTCATTTGACCTTGCACTGGTTTAGGATGTTGAGTCAACTGTTAAATTAGGGAAATGCTTTGAGCATTTCAGAAGAAAGGCATTACGAATATCAACTAAGCATTATTGCAGCTCATAAAAGAGTCAGAAAAACATGAATCAGAAGGGAGCTAATAAGGCAAGCCTGGGTATTGGAGATTAAGAAACAGGGGTACAGTGTGTGAATCTGTGAGTCATTTCCCCTTTATCCTCGGCCTCAGCCAGTCTCTGACTAAGGATCTGGGTCTAGTTCATGTCTCCACAACTAAAGGAGACTTGGAAGGGGCTCAACAAAGAACCTCAAAAAATGATTAAAGGGTTGAAAAATGATACCTATAATAAGATGTTAGGGAACTGCTATTATTTAGCCTGGAGGGGAAAAAAATTGGCTGGGGGACTCTTGAATTGTTATTCAAGTATATGTAAGCCTCAGTGCCAAGGAATAATGACCAACTGGTATCTATCAGTATTTCCATTGAGAATATAAGGGTTCAGTCCATTCAGGGTTAGGTTAGGATCGTGGTCCTCACAGTGCAGTCCTATTACCCCAGCATCAGCACTACCTGGGAACTTGTGAGAAATCGCATTCTTAGGCCCCACCCGCCACCTGCTGATTCAGAAACTGGGGGAGTGGGGCCCAGTGATCTGCATTTTAACAAGCCCCCATGTGATTCTGATGCACATTAAAGTTTGAAGACTACTAAATGAGATATTAAGAGGATATTACAAAATGAGGATTTTGGATACTGGAAATTATAAACTTTTTTCCTGAAGTCATCTAAAAATGGCGTTATATTTGTTTGCAATATTTTCAGTATTCTCTCTGAAGTCAGGAGATAAATGACCTCTCAAAGTCCTTTCTAGCCCTGACTTTGCTCTGGATTTCCTCTGTCACTTAGAGAAGATTAATCATCAACCAGGAAAATTTTGCAATTAACTTTTCTGAACTCAGTAAAGATAGCACCCATTTCAAATGAGAATCAAATGAGATGATGCGATAGTAGTAACGTAATGTTATCAGATGTATCCTACTTTATCACAATGTTATTAAATAGAGTCCCTCCTTTCCATGTGACTTTTTCACAGCCACATGAAGGGAAATTTGGGCAAAGGTCAAAATGAGGAACCCGTTGATGTTAGCACGTGGTCATTTCATGTCACTGTCCGCTGGCTAGGTGTCTTTACGAACCCCATTTCAGAAGAAAGGTAGCTGTAGAGAAAGTTGCCTCTACCCCATTTTCCCAACTTTGTCACTTCCATGGGAGAAGTTTGTGGGTGAGCTGTCTCACCACCTGCAGGAATGCCATTCCCCATCCCTGCCATGGGGAATTCCATAGGGTACCTTGAAAGTAGGAACAAAGTGGGAGGACCTAAAAAGAATGAAAGTGCAGGATAATGCCTTATCAGCTTGGTGGGTCTCCAGCAGAGATGGAGGTTAGGGACCTATTTCATCTTGACACTTTTGCATCGGCAGGAAATGGCCAGTGCTACACATTAGTAGGCGCTTAATACAAATAAGTGGTTATGCAGTTGAAATGTCCAAGGCCACTGGTACTCTGCCCTCTCCCATGTAATTAATTATCTAGAGTCTGGAATTTGGCAGTTCTTACTCTTTCCAGCCAACAAATTTACTCCTAAGACTCCTATTTGTTCCCAACCCCCTGCCACTTCTTTTGCACCTAATGTAAATATATTTTAATTGAGTTATATCTTTGCCCCTTGTATGTTTTTTTCTTGTGCTTTTGCTGGACAGAATTGTGCGGTTGAAAACACAAACTACTGAGAATGTGTCTGTTTGTTATACTTTGTATAGCAATTAGTACAATAAAAGCTCTTTGTGATCATAATGAAGAAAAGGTTCTCTGAGGATGTGTCTTTTCAGTGCTGCTTAAAAAGTGTCATACAAGTGGCACACTGCTGTCTCCACCAGAATAGACAGGCTCTACTGTGGCCAGGGCCTGTGGCCCTAATATTTTAGCCAA